ATAATTTACTTTTCACATAATTTTCACATAATAGAGAAAGTCTACAAGTGTAGTTTTGTTTAGAACGGACCAAATCCTTGTAACACACACAATACGTAAACATGCAGTGAAAAGATATAAATTTGGTTATAATTACTTTAAAAAAAAGGTTTAAAGTGAATCAAAACTATTGGACCCAAACTGAACGACCAGATAACTTAATAAAATCATAAAATTTATTGAAACCAAATTCATGACTCAACGGCATAGGCAAACACATATACGAAAACGATGCAACCCGACTCTATGCCATAACGGCGATCAAATTATAATCAAATCAGAGCATAGATCTGAACCTATATTTGTATCCTGCGAGATTTGTCACGGCACGCTGAAAAGATTTTTTTCAAGGTCACAGCGCTTCACGCGCTTTAGGTTATAAAAACCTTTTAAAATATTCGTTGAGACTTCAGGCCTTCAAAATCAATACGCACGCTTCACTCGCTTTAGGTCATAAAAACCTTTTAAAATATTCACTGAGACTTCATGCCTTTAGAATCAATACGTACCAACTTCAGGTGGTGGTAAAGTGAGAAGCTCTTTGGTTAGAGTCTCGTGCTGATAACGTGTTAATGCTAACTACTAATATGAAACTAAGCATGAGAACAAAAAGGAGAGACAAGAGAGTAGAGAGATAAGAGATTTGTATTCAGTTGTATTTTGAAGCATGAAAGAGGTCCCTATTTATACAAGAAGTAGGGGATCAAACTGTGAAAAATGAATAACCTATCATTAATGCTAAATATTACAGAATCATATCTCTTGATTGTGAATAGAATAATACATATTATTTGTGGACATTCAATCAAATCAAATCAAATATTTCATAACAATAAAAGCATGAAATGCTCTAAAATACACACATATCTCTTACTTCTAATCTTGGAGGAGCGGAAAACTTAGAAGAAAATGATGTTGAATGATTCGAACTTGTGATTAGTTGTTAGTTAATATTCCTTGTGTCCCGAAATTATTGTCTAGTTTGTATTTTTATTTTTAATTTAAATTATACTTCAAATAAAATCGCAAACTGGATAATAATTTTAGCACAAAGGGAGTACAAGATTTGGTTATTTCAATATAGAAAAACTTTGGAGTCATTTAAGTTTGTATGAGAGGAGATAGCGCACAAATGTGAATTGATCTCAACTCAATTAACTAGCAGTCAATTTTATCTAAGATCGACCTTGGTTCGATTTCGAGTCGACATTAGAGCTTGTAAAAAAAAAAAATGCAATAATCATGAATTCGGATATTTCCATAAAATTAGGGGTTTTATGAAATCTCGTAAAAATTTGAGTGCTGAGTAATGGAAGTGAAATTATCCATTGATCCAACATAAATTTTAGTTGTTATTCAGATTAATATCTTGTTATTTGAGGCTTTTAGTTGATATCCTGAAGCTTCGATGTGTGTTTGCAAATTTTACCAAACTTCAGGGGTGTGAATGTACACAAAAAGCTGGAGGGGAAAAAAAAAATCAAAAAGAGGAACCGTTTGGATCGGGGGATTGAACCCGACGTGAATCGAACACGCAACCTTCTGATCTGGAGTCAGACGCGCTACCATTGCGCCACGGATCCGATGGTGACAACTTAATACTAATTAAGATATATATTTTAAAAACAGTATATATTCTAAAAGTTTGACTTTCTCTCATTTGGAGCTTCTCCATTTAACTCCATTTCGGTGCTCAATTTGAAGGTTGGACTCAAGTTTTTTTAAAAAATAAAATATAAAATCCCAGTTGTGGATGATTTTTTGGAACTATTGCGAGACTAAATGTATTGTGCAATTAATTAAGAGTGAATAATTAATCATTGGCTTTTTTCCTTTGGAAAAAGAATAATTAATCGTTGACCCTAGCTGTAGTATTCCCTCCATTCCTAATATAAATTTCAAACTCTAATATTAACTATTTTTTTGACACAATAATGAAGTACTATTATTTTTTCCAAGTTATAATCTTGTCTTGAAGGAAAATAAAAAACGTTCAACTTCAAATGGTTTTTGAATTTTGACACTGATATTAATCTCTTCCTAGGAAGCATTGAATTCCACTAAGGTTTGTCAAGACCAATCCCAAGAATGTGGATGCTTGCATCTTTGAATATGTTAAGTTGAGCACCTTAATCAACTGAATTGTGAATTTTCTTTTTTCATCCGACTAAACTTGTATTGGAATTGTTTTGATTAAGAAAAGTGTCAACGAGAAACAAAACAATTAAATGAAAGATAAAGCATCAACGAGAAATTTGACAAATCTTGTATAATTAGTTAAATGAAAGATAGCTTTGGATTCAATTGACGAAACAGAAGTATCTCGAGTTTATAATTATATCATTGATGAATGAACTACTTCGTTAATTATGTTCCCTTCTAATATTTTTTTCCAGGAAAAAAAAAAAGAAGAGAAAATACCTCTCCGATTCTTATTTGAAAACATTTTGATTTCTTTTAAGTTTTATTTAGGTTGTTCTTCTAATTAAAAATAAAAATTTAAAAATATTTTTTAATAATTAGAAGAACACAAGAAATATGAAAACACATTTTTAAGATTTCGTTTTCAATTAGAAGACCGTATTAAATTCAATTTGGAACAAATCAAAATATTTTTTAATCAAGATGTAGAAAGTACTAAAGTGTTATAAGGATAAAAAAGAATTCTCAAAGTGTTCCCATTATATTCCTAATTTCCTACACATAGAACGATCCCTACATCAAAGAGCAACAGCTCTTTTCAATGGAGTGAAACCAAAACTTTCAAAAGAGACATATAAAGTACTCCCTTCGTCTCAAAATGATTGTCCAGTTTGCATTTTCAATTTTAGTAAAATTTGAACTAAAAATGAAAATCTAAACTGGACAATAATTATGGGATGGAGGGAGTAACTTGTTTAAAATGGTGACTCTGTTGTTTTCCCTCAAAACCAGTTTTGTTGAGTTGTTTGAGTTTTAACTTCTTAGTTCTTACCCCTTCATTTTCAGCTAGGATTTCCAGATGGAACTGTTTTGATTGGGATTTACCTCAATCCTGTTCCCTAGTTGAATTATTTCCATTATCCTTTCCTCTGGCAGCATATTTAAGTTAGCCGCTGGATGGAAGAAAGAAATCAGAATGTAGGAGTTAAAAAACAAAAAACCATTATTTTTCCGCTTCAAAAGGTTTCAGGAGGAGGAAAAAAAATTTGGAACCGTTTTAAGGATCGGGGGAATTGAACCCGACGTGAATCGAACACGCAACCTTCTGATCTGGAGTCAGACGCGCTACCATTGCGCCACGGATCCGGTGGTGATATCTTTTCGAAATATTCTTAATTTATATAAAGTACTCCCTCTGTCCCACAAAAATAATCCAATTTCAAAATGTACAACTTTTTTAATTTGGTCAACTATTGCAAGGTACAACTCATTTAGCCTAACACATTTCCTATTTAACCCTTGTTATATCCCCAAATTTGAATCCTAAAATTCTTGTATCTCTCACCGGAAAACTAATCGCGGCGGCTGTGTCTACCCAATTCAGCCACAGATGCCAATCAAGTCTGAAAGTGATAAGGACGGCAACCTCCGAGGTTCCAAGAAAGTCCCTATGCTACGACAAGAACACTACCATCACTGATGATCAACACTCTAAATTTCAATTTCCTCCACCAAGCCATCACCACCACCACTACAATTAGCGTGATACCAACAATGATTCCTTTACTTTCCTTGGGCAAGAGATGTCTTTCGAGAATCAACAACAGCGGTTCGAAATCAATTCTTCATCGCCTAACAGGTACAATCAATCCTTTGCATAGTATAAAAAATTACCAATTCTTTATTGACTTTCTTTTTTATTTATTTGTTTGATAATTAATGTCAAATTTTCATTAGACGCTAAGGTGAGAATAGAGATGGAAGAAAGGAGAAAGAGCTAGCCGAGATTTTCTTACCGGTGGTAGAGGAATTCGTCGGGAAAAAGCTCCAAGCTCAGGAAGAAGAAATCGAGATAATCGGGCAGATAATTGAGCCCCGATACAAGCTATGTAATATTGCTTAATTGTGAAGGATGGTATAGTCATTTCAATCGTTTTTTATTTTCACTTTTTGAAACTGGACTATTTTTTTGGGGACAACAATATTTATTAAATTGGATTATTTTTGTGGGATAGAAGGAGTACAATTTTTTAGGTATACAATTATGTTACTTTTTTTTTTTTTTTTTGAAAATAAATCATTATGTCACTGAATTATGCTTCCTCCGTTCCTCGGCCAAGCCAACCATATTATGGGCCAAAAATAATTTACATTAACTTTGAGTTTTATGCCAAATTTTACATCAAAAGAGTGTCCAATATTCTTCTTCAAAGTTCGAAATTGTATCTACTCGACTCAAATCATTAAATTTTATTAAACTAAACTTTTTACCACGAGTGCAATATAAGATAAGGAAAATGATAAGTATAGTGACTATATACAGTGAAAATAAATAGTGGCTAAGTTGGCCCCCTATTTTGTTGTCACTTTTTAGTAAAAATTATATTTTTCCCTTAAAAAATTACACTTTTATCCTTAATTAGCAAAGACACATTAGTCACTATTAGTTTTCACTAAAATTATATTTTTTCCTTAGAAGATTACACTTTTACTCTTAATTAGCAAAGACACATCAATCACTATTAATTTTCACTATACTTAGTAAAGACACATTAATCACTATTAATTTTCACTATACTTTTTCACTGGCTATATCATTACTGATAAGATAATCACATCTCACATACTTTTCTTCTCAGTTTTATGTAATCGCATCTCATTGTAAGGAAAACAGAACCAAAACAAGGAGACCGCTTGGCTAAAGATTGTGTCCAAGGAGATTGTAAGCAAGTCATTTGCATGTACTCCGAATCCAAGCAAGAGAAGATTAATCAAAGAAATTAGCTGAGGAGATTTCTTTGAATTAGCAAGTCTAATTTCGTGTCCTTACTAATTTCTTTTATAGCTTAAGTAATGCAAAATGGCTGCTAAATTGCAGAAATGGATACATTTGCTGTGATGATGATTGAGGTTGAAAAATAAATTACAATTTACAAATAAATTACATAACGTAATGGGTATGGAAAACTGTTAGTGTTCTCATCAATGGAAAGAATACTCAAAACACCTGATTTCTCTATTGTAAGTAATCAAACTTAAACAAATCAATTGCTCAAACCAAGGTTGGGTATTTAGCATCTAAGAAATCTCTCAATGATTTCGCAGCTTTCTGACCTCCCATCAATTCGGCTAGTCTCTCCAATGGAAGAAGTGCAAGTTCTGCCAAGCTTTTACACCCATCCATTATAGCTCTGTAATTCAAATCTGTCACACCCGGCAGCCGTCTCAGGAACTCTACTGCTGACGTGTTGTAATTCTCCGCTCTATCAAAAGGTTGAAGTAGCAAAAACCATCAATTCATCTTGTTCTAAAAAATAACCAGAAAGGCTAGAATATATTGTGGCGGAAATATTACCTAACATCATTTTCCACAATGCCTTCTTCTGATGGTACACCAACTCGGGTTGCTTTGGCCTCATCTGGTTCATCCTGGTTTGCTTTAAGAGAAGCAAAGATCTCTGCAGTAGCATGCAAACTGCGAGACCAGACAATGCGCAGGCGAGGGAAATGAAGAACGAGCAACGACAGCTTTGATATTATGTTGTTAGGAGTAACATCATCACCAATTTCACTAGCAGACTGCAAAAGAAAGTTCACAAAATAAATAAACAGATAAAATGCACCTCTTACCATTGGGAAACCCAACACTGAATAATCAATACCTGGAAGGAGAAACTCTTGTCTTGTGAGAATTCAATAAGAAGAACAGGAATTTTATAGTAACGAGACATTATTTCTGCCTGGTGGTAAAGACGACCAGATGCAAAACTACCAAAAAGATCTTGAATGCTTTTTCTCTCGACACATATCAACGGCGAAAGAATATAATCTCCAACTTCCAGAGTGACAGGTATTATGCGCATGCCTCTTTGATGCAAAACATTGGGGAGGCTGCTCATGAATTCCCTCATGTCCACGATGACCTGGGGAAGTAAAAATGATCTTCTCAACTAGATCTAGATCAGTAAGATGGACATTTAATTTGGCTTCTTTGAAAAGATACCTGTGTCTCCTTCTCTGCTTCCTTTCGTCCGCCTGCTTTTCTAGTAACCATATTTTGAGAAATCGTGGATTGGGATTCTACAAAGGACTCCAGTCTCAAAGACACCTCCTGAATATTATATGGAAAAAAAAAAATCACCAGTGTTGCATGTGCATTTAAATTATGAAGATAAAATGCAAAAAAAAAATAAAAAAAATAAATGGAGAGTACAACATATATCATTCTCTTAATAATAAATGCCGGTAACAGGAACCATATCAAACCAGTAATAAGGCAAAATAAAGCAAATGGAATGGTGTGAAACAAACTAATTCTAAAAATTAAAAATTGAAATCAGAAAAATTTATCACATCATATTCAAGTGAAACCATTTGACGGCAGGTAGTAGCCACAGTGTGCTAATAGCTTAGATGTTCCTTGCACTTGTTTAAGACCAATCTTAAAATTTAAAGTTTCCAACTCATATAGGCAACGAAAAAGATAGATCACACAGCCTTTACCAGTTACATAGATACAGCATTAGTTTTTCCACTGTCAAGACAAACTACTGGATCCACAATAAATGGGGGGGAAAAAAAAGTAGAGATCAAATGTAAAAAGAAAAGGAAGAAAAGCATTAGGGACGTAATAGAGGCCCTCCAATCATGATACATCAAAAAAAGCCAATCATATCCACAGTGCAATGATTAGAAAGGACAGCTAGCAACTAGGGAAACAAAAACTATTAAAACTGATTATAATTTCAAAAACCATAGAAGATCAAAAAGGAAAAGTTAAGAAAACTGACTTGATCGACAGGTATCATCATCAGTGATTTCTGCCGAATAAGGGACTCAAATGCTCCATTCTCTCTTCGTATACTGGCCTCAAACTTTTGCACCTCAGTAGACTCTTCGTAGAATAAAAAATAGACTTTCACCTTTTTTGAGGGATTTTCAGCTTTATAAATTTCTATTTCCCTGACAAAAGCCATGTCAGGGTGGTATACAACAATGACAGATGGCTGCAAAATGTCAAGAATATGTTGATCAGTATCTACGGCATAAAAATGCACTGGTGGGAGCTGCTTATTATCAATTAATGGTTCAAGACCAAGAGAACCACCAGCTCCACTTGAGGTGCCCTCATTTTTCTGGTCTTCATCCTCAAAAGGATGTGCATCTAATTTACTGTCTGTTGTAGCCTTCTTATGGGTCTTACCACCTTTCAATCTGTTCTTATTTTTTGTTTTTCCTCGTTTAAGGGCCTCCCCACCCTCACATGTTTCAGGATTATCACCAAGATCATCCTTTTTCCTATGTTTGATGATTTCAGAAGCCGCAGCTATCATAGCCTCATGTTCCTGCCTGTTTATGCTGCTAACTTCAGCTTTTTGCCCAGATACTGATGGAATAACTCCATCAAGTATCCCAAATCCTTTCGGCTCTTTCATTTTCTTTTTACCACGTTTAGGCAAAGCCTGCAACTCTACCTTGCTCAGCAAATAGTTTTCCCACTCTTCTTGCATGACCTTCAAAAGAAAAAAGGATAGTAATAATCAGGCTATTGACTAGTGAGTGAGTACAACAATACTACAGTGAAGTTTCACCTAACTTGAACAGTTAAGGAAGCAATATGAAATACTTAAAAGAGAGGGTTCAGGTACTAGACATGGCAAAGCTTAAGGCTGAGAGCTAAGAGATAAGAACCTTGTGGGAACCCTTCTTGATGCAATCTTCGAGCTGCATACAAGAATGTTCATCTTTGCATGCCACAAGAACTATCCCATTATCATTCCCAGAATAATCTGTAATAAGGTCCTCGTCAGTCAATGATTGCCTCTCTCTTCCCTCTTGTATCTCCCCAAGTATCTCCTGTAGAAGAAAAACGTGCACAAGAAAAACTTCAAAAATACAGAAATTGGGACAGCCAAATAAATCAACTAATTAGTAAATTGATGTATTGCAGATAATCCGAAGGAAATTGAAACCTACTCACTCACACGCAACACCTTCCACTTAGGTGGCTCCTCCAATACTTCCTCCAAAACTGCACCACCTTCAGTGGGTACTGCCAAGTCTGAGAAGGAACATAAAAAGAATAAGCTAAGGCATCTATTCATCACTCGCAAAAATAATTTTTCCTGCTCCAACATCTAACTATATGCAACCCACAGGAGATTGACTACAAGAGAAGATACATGACAAAGGATAATACACAAACATCACATGACCATAACAAAAAAAAAAAAAAAACTCACCTGTCTCACTAATGCTATTTTCTAACTTTCTTCTCTTGGTTGCCACTGAAGTCTTAATTTGTCCTAAACTTTTTCTACCATCTGACTTCCCATAACGAAAGACACGCTTCTTTGCCAAATCAAAAATCTTGTAGCTAGACTCTGCAAATATCCAAACTGACCGGAAACTCTCTGATGCTCTCAAAGAATCCAAATACTTCAAATACGTCACAGCATCATACCTATTCATAACATATGCAATGTCATAATTTATGCTAGGACAATTGACGGGAAGAGGAGATAGGGAAACACCTTGACATAATCTACAGCTGATAAACAATTACTCCACATTATAAAAATCTATTGGAAATTCTATTTTCATTTTCGGGTAAGCAGAGACTTAAGTTTGGACACGATGTAACAATATCTTTTCAGACCTTACAAGGTAATCCAAAAGCTTTCTCAATGTCTTCAAATCTGAAACAAGTTGTTTCGTCTTTTTCCCTAATGTATGCCAAATAGGATCCAACTGTCGCCTAATTATTTCATCAAATGACTTGAATAACCCATTCTCTACTGTCAAGTCATCCACGTCAACTTTGTTAGTTTTCCTCATCTCCTTCAAACAAGCATCCATCACTTCAATGACTGCTTTTTGGATCCCCATCATGTATGGCGACATTGGTACCCTTATGTCAACCACTTCAGGTGGATCCCTCTCTAAATCCTGTGAAACATATACCTGAAATACCAAAGAGTCGCCCAAAACAGAAAGTAAGTTCGAAACTTAATGAGGACCTAAACAACTAAGTTACCTCATTTATAAAGAAAAGAAAAACTTGACCATATTTAACTTTTGAATTCCTGCCTACTCGATCTTACGTTGCCTCAATGACAAATCAGCTGTTTTTAATAAAACATCTAAATGCACCCAGTTCAACATCATATGCAAATCTAGTCTATAATAGCGGCAGAAGAACTTCCCACCAACTAAATACAGGGAAAAAAAACCCTAAGACCATGAAAATTCACATTAGATCGATAGGAGTTTGACCACATGAAGATGACAACTTTCGATGATTATAAGGTCCATTTTACATAACAGCTTATCCGCAGTGTCAAATCAAGCAAAGTTATAAAACTCTTTGGTATGCATTGTAGCCAGTAGGATTAAAATGGGACATTACACAAATTCTGAATCCTAACATAATCCAAATGTCCTAAGCTTCCATGTCCAAATAAAAAAGACACAACCTTGACAGAAAAAGAAAGAAAATATATTGAAAACTTATAAAGACGAATGAAACCCGAGAGCAATTAGGTTAATTAAAATTAAGCACCTGAAACCTCGGCCAGAGATGAAGTTTCCTGAGGAAAAGGCACTTAAGAGTTCGTTCAGCTTTGGCAAAACCAGAGACCATTCCATCAGGTCGGTCGGAGAATGCACGAACAAAGAGAGTCCGGTTCGAAGACCTAAGAATGCGAACTATGAATGCCTCAGTTGAAGTGTCAGAGAGGGAATGAGCATTGAGGAGAATAATCCCCGCGACAGAGGTCGTAGGAAGCCGGTGGGTAAGGAGGTCAACGATTAGGATACGAGTCGTGATGAAAAATATGCCGCCGGAGGAGTATAGGGAAAGACGCTGGTGGGCCGGTAGGTCGGAGGTGATTTCGGAGGGAATCGATTGAGAAGACTGAGAAGGGGGAATCGTGGCTTCGTAGCTCCGGATTATGGATGACTTTTGGGATGGGGAAGAGGAAAGGATCAAGAGGGAACCTTGAGATGGGTGGTGGAGGTGGAGGAGGGAGGCGACGAGTTTGTGGAGGCAGAGGCCGGCGGAGAGGATGACGAGGCCGCCTTGAGAGTCTTCCAGAAGGTCTGTTATGATATGCTCGTGGAATTGAACCATTTTGGTCGGGGTTAGGGATTTCACGGCGGATAGAGAAGGCGGTGGCGGTGATTTTGATGGTCACATTTCTTTGGAGTTGCGGTGGCGGGGGGGTGGTGGCGGCGGCGGGAAGACTGGTGGGCAGTGGCGGTTGATTTGGAGGGATTGAACGAACTTTGTTTTAAAGTTGAAAATTTACGGACGTAAGGGCAGAAAGTACTCAATATTGCACATAAGTCCTTCAGTATATAGTAATTAGGTTAAACCCCTAGACGCGGGAGAAATTAACCATTTCGTCACGAAAGCAGAGTAAGAGAGACTCGGAGTTTAAGTTCAAGGAACATGGCTATTGCTTTTTTTTTTTTTTTGGTTACAGAACTTAGCCAAATCTTCCTACCGAACGGAGGACATCTCTGCTTCTGCCTCTAACAAAAGGGATAAAAAGCTTGGGGGAATAAAAAAAATACAATCCCCTATTTACATTCAAAGCATTTTAAGCTAAGGTTTGCACACATATAACTTTCTCAAGATATGCGTGCGAATTGGACCTCCCAATTTGCTTTCAAAAGAGTGAAAATGCCCCTAAGTTTAGGTATAGGGGCATGGATTGACTCTCTCTTAGACGATCCATCATCTCGATCGCGAAAATGGAATCAGACTCAATCAACACCCTGGAACAGCCCTTCTGTCTCGCTAACTGCATGCCAAGTAGAATGGCACGAACCTCGGTTATTTCAAGGGAACAAATCCCTTCGTTTCTATTAAAAGCTACCAAAAAACAGCCAATGTCATCCCTGATAATACCCCCTGTTGCTGTCTTCCATGTTTCAATACAAACAACTCCATCGCAATTTACTTTGCGCCATGATTGCGGTGGTTTGTTCCAGGACCGTTCCTCCGTTGTTCTACTAGTTCTTCTTTGTCATCTCATCATTTTTTGGCTTCTATCAATCTCATCAGACTTGTGGGTAGCAGCCCTAATAAGACTAGCCGAATTAGGAGCTCCCCCATTAAAGACTCTATTATTTCTTAAGGTCCAAAGCAGCCAGCATATAGCACCAAAATTAGCTCGCCATCTGAAATCATCTTGCTCCAAGTTGCTGCATATCCATTCCTGTATACCTTGCTAGAAGAATAACTGCCTCCTGCCGTTAGGTACAAGCTGAGTCCAAACCTCTCTAACAAATTGGCAATCCCTCAAAGCATGTGGTGTTGTCTCCACCATCTGAGTACAGGATGGACATGCGTCTGTTAGGACAGTCCCCCTCCATTTACAAACGTCATTTGTGGGCAGTCTTCCATGGAGGGCTAACCAAAGGAAAGTTCTTATCCTCTGGGGGCCTTTCCATTGCCATACTCTTTTCCACTCTCTGTTAACCAGCAAAAAAGTTTCATCAGTAGCCAAATAATACGCACACTTAATAGAGAACTTACCCGACTTATTAAATAGCTATGTCGGTTTGTCACTCCCCAGTGATTTCATAGGCGGAGGCATGCTACACACTTTCTCTACCAAATCTCTGCTCAAATATGGTAGAACTTTTGCTGCATCCCAACTTCCATTGTCTGAGACAAAATCAGCAATCGGCTTCGATTCCCATTCCTGAGGTATTGGTTTAATTGCGTGACAACCTAATCTACCCACCCCCTCAATCCAGCTATCTTTCCAGAAATGAACCCTCTCGCCGTTTCTAATATTCCAAGTCAGGCCTCTCTGAACAAGAGGAAATACATCAAAAATACCCTTCCATGTCGGAGAAGAGTTCATCCCCCTTTTTAAAGTCACACTCTCCTGTTCTTCCTTACAATATTTAGCTCTAAGGACTTTCACCCATAATTCGTCTTCCCTTGCCACCAGCTCCCAGCATAACTTCATTAGGAAAGCAACATTACTCCCTAGCCATTCGTAATCCTAGCCCTCCCCTTTCTTTCGAGTTGCAGGTTGTATCCCAATTTACAAGATGCATTTTCCTTTTATCTGCTGTGGAACCCCAAACGAAATTTCTAATCAGCCTGCCAATTTCGTCACAAATATGCAACGGGAGCTTAGTCGACTGCATTTGAAATGTGGGAATCGATTGTAAACAGGTTTGTACTAGTGTAACTCTTCCGGCTAGGGATAATTGGTTAGATTTCCAGCGGGACAGCTTCGCCTTGACTTTCTCCAGCTCACTATAAGTGGACTTTGTGATCCTCCCATGTATGACAGGTGAGCCCAAATACTTCTCCAAATCTGATGTTTCTCCATAACCAAACTCCTCTTTAATCTCCTTTCTCAAATGAACTGGCGTATTTCCCGAGAAGAAGATCTTTGTCTTCTGGGGATTTACCTTCTGTCCTGAAACCTGTAAAACTCAGACAACACTTTTTGCATTACACGTACCTGTTCAATAGAAGCTTCCGAAAATAGAAACAAATCATCTGCGAAAAATAAGTGTGAAATTATAGGTTCCTTTCCCATCTGGATTCCCCGCTATTCTCTCCTGTCCACTGAACCTGCAATATTATGAGCTAAAATCTCCATACAAAGCACAAAAAGATAAGGAGAAAGGGAATCTCCTTGTCAAATTCCTCTTGATGGCACAAAACTCTCTGAGATTCCTCCATTCCAGAGTATCCTTATAGTAGTCGTCGAAATGCATTGCTTGATAAGCTGTATTAATTCTTTGGGAAATCCAGCAACCAAAAGGGTACTATGATAATAAAGTAAGTTAATGTGAACAACTAAATAAAAAATTTTATTAGTATGATTTTTTTAATCAAAATAGTAGACATTATTATATTTTCAAATATAAATAATGTCTTCAAATTACGATTTCCTACTAAAATATATTAGTATATTTATCTTATTTTACAATACCTAACCTTTGTATTTATTTTACTGGAGAAATTATAATACAGCTTTCAGTTTTTTTTTACGCATTTCCACCCCTTCCACTTCATAAAAGTTCCCTAGTTGCTCTTGCTTAAGCCATAATATATATAAACCATCAACAAATAATTCTTGAGAACAAGTGAGAAATAATTTGCTCAAATTCAACTCTTTGCGTGCTTGAATTTACCCTCATCAAATCCAATGGGAGTTAGAGCAAGCGCAATGGGTGTTTGAACTGCTTGTCAATTACCTCTCCATCAATACTTTTTCATTATGCACCATTTAAAAGAAAACATGCGTAATTTCTGCAGTTACTTCTTTGTCCACCAGAAAAAATCAGAAAACGTGGGGTGAGATAATGCAGCTTGAAAAGAGAAATGGCCAGAATCTATCTATCTATATTATTATGATATTTATATTCTAATAAAGAAACCGGAGAGAGGATTTCACATTGATTCTTAGGGTGCCACGTCAATAAAAATCTTATGTGACATTTCCTTAAAGCTCCTCAAAAAAAAAAAAGTCACTGAAATTAACTATAAGTCCCTCACATGGGGCTTGGAGAATAATATCATTTATTTTGCAAACATAAATCCACGAAAGAAAAAAAACCCAACTACTATTTCAAACCTAGGTTCCAATCCATATTTTAAAATAATATAGATTTAGCAACATCCATTTACGAAGATTCAGGAATTTTACAACTTCAGGAACTTTTCAAAGAGGCATAATCATGTGGCTTTAAGGAAAAAAAAAAAGTAAGCAGAATAGTGCCAATTGTGGGGCTTTTAATAAAAAAAAAAGAAAAAGGCAAAAAGGAAGCAGAAGACGGGATGACACACAGAAACTACTCCATATATTATTCTGATACCATCGGCGCGACCAAACACCAAAATTGGCTGTCTCCGGCAACGGGAATGATTGTTCCATTGACCGGCATCATGGACAGAAGACGGATTAATTCTATTCTATTATATGGTATTCCGCAAACCATCAACATCGAATCACGTTGTTAATCTCAGGGCAACAAATCCCGGGTAAGTAGACCAGGTGGTTAATTTCGATGAATCAAATTTGTAATCTATTTGTTTTGATTCGAATAAATCCTCTAAGTCCGGCAATATAGTATTCATCAGTTTGTTTTGATTCGAATCACATTTGATTCGATCTACATCTGTACATCTGTTAAAAATTTTCATAATTTAGATAAATTTTTAGCTTACCACTACATGCCAGACCGGTATAAATTCCAGTCCTCTCATCACTTCCAAGCACCACCACTTAAAACACATTAGAGCACACCACGAATATTTGAGTTTCTATTAAATTCAGGCTATGGCAATTGCAAACGGCAATAGAATTGTCGACTTTATCGGCGACCTCACACCCATGTTTGCCAAATCTGATTGGAGGGTCCAAGTTCGTATCCTTAATGTCTGGACTCCTACTTATGGAAATTATTCTGATGCTGCATCTATCGAAGCTTTGCTGATCGATGAAGAGGTTAGAATTGTCATTTTTTATTTTGCTACTGAATTTTTAAATGATTGTTCTGAAGAAAAATAATCTGAGGTTGTTTCAATGAATGTCGATATTTTACAATTCTGCAGGGACACAAAATCCAGGCATCTGTGCCCAAGAAACTTATATGGAAATTTCAAAGCCTAATGGAAGAAGGCGCTACAAAGATCATATCCAACTTCGACTTGGCCCAAAGTAAGGGGACATGTCGAACAAGCATGCCTATGAGATAATCTTCATGTGCAACACTACCGTGGAAAATAGTGAAATCCAAACTATACCGAGATATTCGTTTAACTTTATTCCTTTCAATGACATATTGACTACTCCAATCAGCAATGAATATCTCATAGGTATGTATATGAATGTATGTCATTGAATCAATAAGAATCTGAAGTAAAGTCAGTCATCCATTTTCTTATGTGTTGTTTGTTTCAGACCTGATAGGTGAGATAGTTGGAGTAGGCATCATCGAAGAAGGGCCAGATAGAAAGATATTAAACATTGAATTGGAGGATTTGGAGTGAGATGGATTACAATGCATTCTTATTGATTATGATTTTGTTATTTTTTTGATCAATTTTTTCCTTTATTTACAAAAAAACACATTTTATAATCTATCGACAGGAAGAACAGATTGATGGTTACTCTGTGGAATCACCATGCGGATACTGTTAGGGACTATATTACATATTGGTTCACTAATGGTCTGTTACCCTTTTAAAACGAAATGGAAATATTATTAAATATCTTAATTACATAACGTATGCCCAATAACAAATACACATAATTGCATTTCAACAAAATCATAAAATACTATACTATAAATAATTATGAGGACTTGTGGTTTTGTTGGTGACCTCTTAACATATTTTATAACAAAAATTATTATTTCAATGATTAGGTTTTCCATGTGTTATATGATGTTATTATGATTAGCTATAATTCCATTTGATTAGTAAATCTTTTCTCAATCTCATTTTATAGTAGGTTATTTGAATTTGTAATTATAAACTTCTTTATTAGTAAAAAATAATTTACTTTGTGTTATTGGACTAAAGTAATAGTAAAACCCAATATACATTATTAAGTTTGTACAAACTATCATTGCAATTTAAAACTTTGATTTAGTTAATTTTAATTATATTTGCGCTTTTAATTACTTTCATTCATATACTACTTAAAATTGCTTCTTTTTCCTTTTTTCTTCACTGCCCTAAGGTACATCAAACTCTTTCGTTTCATGTGACAAGAAATGGTTTATATTTATGATTACGTGCTTAATTTATTACACGTAATGTAAAGATATTTAATTATAAATTTACATGTACTCCACATTTTTAATATTTTTTACCAATATTATTCATTGGCGATAAAAATTATGCGCGGGTCTAACATCTAGTGAATAATATTGAAATTTGCGCAGTGCGAGGTTTTTTTCTTTCCTTCCTCGCCTCTATGTATAAATTTACATGAGATCTTTCAATTTCTTACACAACTCTTCTATTCATCATCTTCTAAAATTTATCTCTTAGTGACCATTATTTTTTTTTTTTATCATGGATGAAAATAATAATTTCAAAAATTTCTTCATTCCACCAAATTATCAAAATTTTCCAATTTCTGAAAATATCCAAACCTCACCCAATTTCCAAATTCCTCATCATTTTCAAAATTCAACCACTTTTCTAAACGAGACTCCCAATTTTCACAAACCCATCAATGTCCAATCACCTCAGCATTTTCAACATCCACCAATAAATTTTCACAAAAATTATTGGGTACAACTTTTGTATCCTGGTTTTTAGTGCAGCAAGGATCCCTATATTTTGGTAATATAACTCCCGTAGAAATTATCTCTCTACCCTCCCCCAAAATTATTACTTTACCCCTATTATTGTGTCTGGCTGCATAATCCTACGCGGTACAGCAGCTGCACTGAATAATTTTTCAAATTTTCAAGTACCGTCTAATATGCAAATACTATTAAATTTTCAAAACCCACAATAATTTCTCCAAAATGGACAAAATTTTAAAAATCAACCACATTTTTCACAATCTATCATCCCTATTATTTTAGTCCAATTATAGTAAGTCAACAAATGTCTGGATATAATAGCTCCGATACCAATGAAAAAATTACAACTCCGAAAAATTCGGTTTCAAGCACTCAAATTAAGAGCATCATATTCAATGCAACTTGGAAGCGAAAATACCTATGTTAGACGTGAAAAATGGAGTAGGGAAGATCAAGTCATACTTGTGAAAGTTAGGCTAACTATATTTACCTGTACAAAAGTGAATACTTCCCAAAAAGAGGTTCAATTTTGGAAACGATTCACTGATTACTATTATAAAAATAAAAAAGTGGATCTGATAGAATCAAAGAAAGAGTCAAAGCACATGAACATCCGATAAGCAGAAGGCTTAATACATTTAACCAACACTATAACAAGATTGTTGGAGACCATTTAGGTAGGTGGAATGATGAGCAATACAAACAATATGTTCGTTCACTTTACTATCAAATCGAGAAAAATTATTTCACACTTGAGCATGTGTGCGTGATATTAAAAGATTATCCAAAATGGAAAACTGTCATTCCTATGAAACGACCTCCTAAGAAAACAAGGACCAATGAAAGTAGAAAATACAGTATTTCGTCCAGTCATGATTCAGGGTTCGACCTAAAATCAAAATCTCCCTAAAGTTCGTCCAATCGGTGAGAAGACACCCAAGAGAAAGGAAAAACAAAAGGTTGGTGAAAGTAGTTCGATTTCAATGATTCAAAAATTTATGTCTATTTGAAAAAGGAAAATAGAAATATACACAGAGTTACAAACATCGGTCGAAAGTCTTACTTGCGTAGAAGAATATGACATACTCATGAAAAATACTAAAGAGATATGAAAAAGAGAGATGCATTCACGAGAAATGAGCTGCTATTTTACGAAAAAACCATAATCTTGATTAGTATGATTGGTTATTGATATAGTTTTTTAAGAGTGAACTGCCCGAAAGAACACTAAATTATGCGAAAGTCCGCAATATGATCACGACTAAATTTTAATTTATTGGAAGATCACTACACTTATGATTAACTATTTTCCATTAAACCATTTGGGACAGAGGAAGTCAAACCATTTGGGAGAAGATATCATTCTCGACTCACTAATAGGCAAGGAGATGACAAGCAATAAGGAAAGGCAAGTGGGCAACTAGGCAAACGGACAGCAATTAGGGGCAGTATTAAAATCATGGTGAAGAATTGTTGTGACTTAAGTGTCAGAAATAATAACACTTTTTAAAATTTTTTTTTTATGAAAAGCCAATATCCTTTTACTCTATTAAAGCAGAAGATATGAAGCTTATGTGGCAACTACGTATACATCTGTTTTGACTCCAATGCACCATATTTCAGATTTCAGAAGTCTTTTTGCTACGTGTAAGTCTCTTTTAATTAGAAGCTATATAATTTTTTTTTAAAAAAAAACACATGTTTTACTATAAATAAGGATCAGTTACATTTCAAACGAATAGATATATTAATTCAAATTCAAATGTCCAATCGTATAGTTTTGCAGGCTAAATATAAACAAAAAATAAAAATACATAAATCCAGCAATTAAGAATAATGACTTATAAACTAATCATTTATTATTCCCTTATAACCTCAAATTTATAGTTATTTTTTTAAGCCCCAAACCATAGCATAAATGATATATATGCCAAATTAATTCCTCAAATAATAGTAATTCAATTAGATTTTAATAAAATAGTAATTTATAGGGGACGCCCGGACATCTATCCGGGCCAAGCATCAAGTTTCCTGTTATAATAATACTTGGCTAGTATGCTTATTATCTTGGCCAGATGGAGAGAGGGAAAAAAAAAAAAAAAAACTCTCTTTTTGGCTTTATTCTTTATTTTCCAAACGAAACTAAACTAATATATTGGTTTAATTTTCCAAACAAACATACTGTACCTGAATAATACTTTATTCAAGTATAAGAATCTCTCAATATTTGTCTTTTGCAATACACGTATTTGGTTTATAAAGATCTTTTATTTCTCCTTCGGTGTCTTGGTTAGCTTTTTATTTCTCCTTCTAAAGCAAATATATAATGGGTGATTTACTACTAGTTTGCAAACTTGAATTAGGGTGACTGAGTATGGATGTACTCTTGGTTCTGGCGTTACTTAAAAAAAGAAGGAATGATCAAACTGCCTATACAAACAATTCCTCAGTTTTCATTTAAATTCAAACTATAAAAATTAAAGTTCCATCCAAACTTCTGCCGGATCAACTATCAATATGCGAAGCTTTTTTGGCTCCCTCTAATGAAATTTCCTTTTAATTTGGTGTTCCACTCTCAAGAAAAGAAATAGAGGGTTAAAAGCCAATCTCTTAAGCTTTTTTTTTCTGTATTCTGTTGAATGCAAGCTTAATGCAGTCTCTTGCAGTTTGGAACTGTAAACTGAAGAAAAAGATAGTAGCTTTTAAGCTAATTTACAAACTAGCTGCTATAACGAGTTGTATCCTATTTAGAGCTCAGGTTTAGTCCCTCACTGCTCTTTGTTCTGCGAAGCATTAAAGGTACAGTTTTCTTCAACACTGCCACATTGATATTGTTCCAAACATCTGGTTCGGTGGGAAGCTGAGCAATTTTCTCTGCAATCACCATGTCCTCGGGGAGTACAGTCCCGAAGACTGTGTAAGATTTTTTCCACTCTGCATGATTCGCTAGGCTTATGAAGAATTCAGGGCCGGCACCAACCCACGCTACAGATCCCCATTGCAGGGTTGGACAGAACTCAGTGGGCATGCCATTGAAAGCTGTCCCTTGGGCATCAAGTGTTCCTTGAATTAGGGCGAATGGAGGACCAAACGAAGCCTAGTAGAAAGCAGAGGGAAAAAGGGATTAAATAACGAGAACTGTAATAGTAGTTCACATGCCATGATAAGGAAAAGTGGTGTGGAACAACTTTAATCAGACAAATGTTTCTCTCCAGTGAACATGGTATGCTCATAACAACTGGGAATCAAAGTGTACCACTTCACAAGATTGACTAACCCTATCTTTACATCCATCAGGAATCAGGATGAGTTTTACATGTAGCTAGACTATCATATTTTTGGCAGTCAGAGAAAACTTATTGAAGTGGACCCCAGTAGATTAAATAAGCAAAATCATCTAATGTCCATTATATAACAGAAACAAATTATAGCACTACATTGTCATTACGAAAAGGAAGTAGTTATTTGTTTGAAGGAAAGAAAAGAAAGTAGTTAAAGAAACCTTACATCTTTTATGTGGTTTCCCTGCGAATCCCAAGATTGACCACGCATTTCAGCACGATAAAAATGACATCCTGCACAATGGCGCAACGCCAACAACTCTAGTATGTAGTTAACTGAATGTGGCGAACATTCAGGCAACAGCTGCAACAAAGCAATATTCTTTCAGACACAGAGAGATGTAACAAGTTTTGCACTAAGAAGGTCGGAGTTTAGCAATATGCTCCATAAGAAAGATAAATCAACCATTGGGTAAAGATTTTGAAGTGGACCAACAAGGGTAAGAAAATGAAGATATATAGAAGACAAAAAACAATCTGACGAGAAAATTTAGTAAGCACCACAGAAACCCAGAGAAACTCCTAGAGAACAAACGACAAACAGGAAACAACAGTAGGATATTTATCCATAAAACATCAAAAAAACCACCCAAATGTATAGCAAAGACAGCCTGAAGAATCGTGCTTCCATAATAAGAATAGCAAGCTGGAAAAAACTTCTGAAAACTTTGTTGAGTTTCTAGAAATGGTAACATAATTCTCCTCAGTTCTTGATAGTGTGCACTGACTCTGCTGTAAAGGCTCTTAAGATCTTCAAAAGTAATGGAAGATTTTCACTCTCCCATAACATTGACACATTCACACATAAATCTATCAATATAAAGTGCTAATGGGTGGCAGATGCAAGTAGCAATGCATAAAACACTAGAAGGTTGACGATAACGAGAGGAAGCAACGTCACCTTTATGTGAAGCGTTCCATACTCAGTTTCCATCCCAATAATGCCCTGAAGGAAAAGCAAGAGGGAACTATTAAGCTCTTATTATATACACCTGGAAAAAAAAAATACTCAAATGCAGATGCTCTTCCACAAGATATGAAGGAAATACGAGCGTAAAAGAGATTGGACAAATTTTCTTTAAATAGAACGAGATTGAAACTGGAAGTTTGACAGTATGTGCAACTAAATGTTTTACTTCAAGTCAGTCATCTAGGTCTAAACATGTTGACATTTGGGGAATCAGAGGAGAGTTTCTTACCATAACAGGAGTTTTACTTGAACTATGCGCTATTGGTTCTTTAGTAATTTTCCGATGATGTACCATTACATCTATCAATATGCCAATTGCAAATCATATTCTACAATTAATACCCAATACAACCACAGCGACATTATCAGGAAATAACATTATTCTACCAGGAATTTTATGAAGCCTATCGTTGGAAGCCTATCTCACACGGTACCTTGAACATGTAATTGGGAAATCAAAAAGGACAACGGAATCAAATGGATTGTCATTATAGGAATACAATAAATACAAAGCGACAAGATCACTCATGAAAAGATGCATCTAAAAGGAGGATACTATGGAAAGGTAGCAAGTCACTCAACAACAAAAAGGAAAAGCAGTTCATTTGATAAATTATAGAAACCACCGTACTTCTTTTGATATTTGATAAGTCGAGTTGTAATCAGTGTGAATATTGGACTAGCCTTGATGAGAACATAGGACCAATATTCACTATCTTCCATGATTACGCTGGATATAAAGAGAGAAATATCAACAGAGACTGCGGATATTATTGATGAGTAAGCTAGGTGATAGAACACGGACAAAAACTTTGAACACAACCAGTAATCATGAGTCTGTCATAAAGTTAGAAACATTTTGACAATTTCAGCATTTTCATGATGCCTTAAAAGAAGACTTAGCTTCCTAAAACCTAACAGAACAATCAGACTCATTAAAACTGAAAAATCATGGTAGAACAAATGCCAAACACGATTTATTAACACAAATAATTGGAACATGTTTATAGCAACATGGAGGAATGACATACTTCTCCCTTTCCAAAAACAAGGCCAGAAGTCCACATAACTTTGTTCCCTGCTTCCTGCCGATCAGGGTTAAGAGTGTCTTTCTGTTTCTTCAACCAGCACTGTACAATGGAAAACCAAAATCTTAGCCACATTACCAAAAGAAGAACACCTTGTACTAAAATTTATCCGACAGTCAATCATAATCCGGAAAGGGAATATTATTATGGCAACAAAGCCTCTCTATTTTAGGCCTATCTGATCCCCTCCTTACCCTTTCCAAATACTAACTATTGGGACATCTAAATTACACTTCGATCTTCCATTTTTAAGGGTTATTGGTCAGAATTAAGGCACCCAATATTAAGCATGAATTGATCACCATGGAACTTTCCAACAAAAGGGATGTATTTTCACAACAAAAGAACAATGTACGAAGAAATGCAGTTAAATCAATCAGCAGCATCAGTCAACAATTCTACAATTATATTGACAGAAAAAATACAATAAAGAAGCAAACTTGTTCATAACACCGAATACATCAATATGATCAACTTACCTCACCAAAATGTGATCCACAAGCTTCTCTGTTCCCACAAAAAACCCAAGAATCACACAAACAAGGCCCATCTTTTCCTGTACACATTGCTTTACAAGCCTTACAACATTCCTCAGAAGAATTAAACTTAAAATCTGTACCCCACTTCACAGCAGGCCCCCACAACTCCAATTGAGGGATCCCTCTGCAGCAACCGGCGCTTTCATCACCTTCGAGACTCCCACTTTCTTCATCCAATTTGGTCAAAGGCTCAGTAATCGTAATTTCAGAAGGCCTCAACACAGCTGACATGAACAAATACACCATTGTGCATGATACAATCCCCAAAAAAAGAAGAATCTTTGAACCCAACCTATTGGTATCGGACTCATTTGGCTTCCGACCCATTTGAGATTCGGGAACGGAGAGGAAAACCCAGAAACAGTTTTTAGTCTATTTGTGTTTGGTCAGTTTAGGTTCGGTGAATTTTCAACTTTTAAAAGCTGGAGAGGGGGTGGTGGGCTGGAAGGGGAACTGAATGAGTTGACTTTTAGGAAACAGAGAGTACACTGAATTTTGAAATGCAAGTGTTTTTATAGTAATAGCATAGTTTGGATTCCACAATTAATTAAAGCATAACATAATGGAGTAGGAATGCGTTTTGAAGAACTGGAGTCTGCCAGTCTGTTGATGGCGGAAGTTTGGTGGAAGAACCGAAAAATTAAAATGAGATTTTGCTGTTTTTTTTTTTTTTTTTTTTGCAGTCCTAATTTGTTATTGTTATAAGAAAGGCAACTTCTAGAAATACTTTGTAAATATAAAACTTTTTAATATGTTTAATACAATATTTATATTATGCCATAAAGTTTAAAACCAAAAATTATGTTATATACACTTCATACGGAATGTAGTCTTCTAAAAAATTCAGACTGAAATTAGATTGTCCCATCTGAATGATCTAGTTATTTAAGACGACACTGATCACACAAATTTATATCTCTGGTTGAATCATTTAGTCTCTATGTTATTTTCTTAACTCTTCATTTAGAATATGATACGAATTAAAAAATCTTATTAACATGTGAAGTGGATAACGAAGACAGATTTGTGAGGAGATGATCGATATGTTTGACTTTTTATTTTTCATGCTTTCTTTTTCGACCTATTGAATTTAATAGTATATGTGTATATTGAGAAGCAGCATATAATTTAGTTATACAGATCCAAACCTGATGTAATCAATGATTTCTCTTTTTACTAATCTATCGGTTCGGTTTTTGGTTCAGTTTTATAACTTTATTTCGAAACTGACAGGTTCAAACTTTGAAAACTAAAGATAATTGTCCGATTCATGATTTAGTATTTTAAAACCGTCATTCAAACTAAACCGGACCGTTTATACTATTTCATACATATACATATATATTAATTATTATATATTTTTAAATGTAAATAAATAGTCAAATGTTTAATATAGATGAATTGGTTAACTCATGACCATTTCTTAACGTTTAATTCAATTTTCAGGTTCGAATCTCATTGCCCTTTTCTTTTTCATTTTTGTTTTGTTTTATTTTAAGGATTTTTTTTTCTATTGAATTTTAAGTTTCATTTTTTATTTTCTTCTGTTGGTTAATATTTTGGATATTGTTTAATTTTAATTAAAGATTTGTGTAGTGTTAAATTATAATTAATAGTAAAAAAAAGTTATATTCTTTTTGTTGCAACTAAAAAAAAACTCTATTTTTGCCCAAAAGAATAAACAAAAGGTCCAAGTTTTGGTCAAAGAAAAAAAATCCTAAAGTGAAACTAAACCGTAAAACCGTAGAAACCGAATCGTTAATAACGGATTGGTTTGGTTCGGTTTCTAACTGCATAACTTTTTGATTTCGGATTCAAAATTTTTCTAACCGTTCTAACGGTTTGATTTACGGTTTATACTAAAAATCGGACCACCCGGACCATGCACACCTCTACTAGAATAACTCCATTATGAACATTAGATACAGAATGTAAAAACAATGCAATTAGAGACCGTCACAGGATTCTCTGTGCCATTTTCCTGTAACACTCTTTGTTGCACCATCTAATTATTCTTTGTAAATAATATAATTTGTGTTAATACATATACTATAAACACATATTTTAAGTATACATTTTTTTCATATTATTATTATTTTTTTGGCGTCAATGTTTTATTTTTAATAAAATTTGTCTAGTTTTATTGAATTTTAACTTTGAAAATTAAAATGAATAGACCATAATTCGAAAAAAAAAAAAAGAACTCTTATTTCTAAAATATATAACTTCGAAAGTAATTACGGATGGTGTAAATATTAACCAAAATCACGAAATTTATTCAAAGTTATTGAATAATACAATAAAGAGTGTTACATAATGGCGTAGAGAATCCTTTGCCAGACATCAAGCAGGAAAATTACAAAATCAAGTGAAGTTCAGATTGGCGAAGGGAAATTCAACTTGTTTGTGTGTTACAAACTACTCGTATTAATTAAGTCCTGCTACTAGTTTCTGAGTGACGACCAAAATAACATTATATCATTCATATCACACGATTAATCAATGAAGTTAGGAGGCAAAATCTTGTTCCGAGCCTCGGAAATAATCCAACAAAAACTTGATCCAAATATGCAAAGTGGGAAATTAGATTGAATTCACATTGAAAGAAACCAGGAACCCTGCTTCTTCAAGATTCAGCAAATCCTTTGAAGGCACTTAAGTGGACAAGTGTATTAGTCCATGGATTTATGTCTATACTCCTGCAAATACTCAACCACCTTATGAAGATATGCATCATGCAATTCTCTGTTTCCAAATATTGCTTCCATTTCTTTAGCCTTCTCCTTGAATTTCTTGCCTTCATCTTCAGCCATCACTAACTTCACCGTCTCAGCCACAGAGTCTCTAGAGTATGATCCATCCTGCTCATTCCTCGGCACCTCGACGCCGACCTGTTTGTCCTCAAGAACCCTCGCATTCAATCCTTGATCAACCACAAATGGAAGCATTATCATTGGATGTCCAAACATTAATCCTTCTATCGTTGATCCCCAGCCACAATGAGTCAAGAATCCACCGATTGCGCCGTGGTTTAGTATCTTCAACTGAGGCGCCCAATTCTTCCAAACAATCCCTCTTCCATTTATCCTTTCTTCAAAACCATGAGGTAATTTAAGCGAATCGGAAGGCTCGTAGCCCGATTGAGATGAGTTTCTAAGAACCCAAAAGAATGGAACCATAGATAGCTCCAATCCAAGAGCCAATTTAGTGATATCATTTTGAGACGGTGAAACCTCACTTCCTAAAGCGACATACACAACTGAACCTGGATTTTGTCCGTCAAGCCATTGTTTTATTGAAATCCAGGCTTCATTCTTGTCGTCATCAATTGGGTTGTGGCTGAATTGAGGTGGCATTAATCCTGCTGGTATGACCGGACGAGGGTATAACTCATTCAGTAGCTTCAACCATTCGCCTTCGAATTCATAGCAGTGCCGAAATATTATGAGATCGGAATTCTTTGAGATCATTCCGATCCTGTATGTATCAGAGAACCCGGATTCATTTTCTTTGATAGCTCCAAGAGTCCAGTTAGCTTCATGGATTTTAAAAGCCACTTTGTTCTCAAACGGCACCCATTTCGGCGGAACCAGGAAATCCTCTGCTTTGGATCTATCATCTGTGCCTTCTATTAGCATCTCAGTCGGTCCGAAAAACCCATAAGTCCAGGCATTGATGATGCTGAAAAAGGCCGTTTTAACGCCAAGATTCCGAGCAATCGGTTGTATCCAGTATGGATTGAAGTCGTGAATGAACCAATCAGGAAGAGCCGTTTCCAAGAAACGAGTCAACTCCGGTTGAAGCCCGTCGTAGGCTTTCTTGAGAAGCGACATTTCGAGATCTGTACGGATGTCCATGGTGGCCTCTGCGTTCTCCGGGAGCCCATCAACTCTGTGAAATCGAATCTTGAACAGGGTTATTGAATCGGTAAGATTTGGTGGGATTTCGGGTAAGCGATCGATGTTTCTTGGGGTGGAAATGAAGGTGACTTTGTGACCCTTTTGAGCTATGAACTTAGCTAGTTCCAGAAATGGAATGATATGCCCAAAGGCTGACCACGGTAGCATGGCTACATGTAATTTGTTGGACTCCTCCTCCATCGCCATGGACGAAATGATGAGCCTCAGAAGCAGAGGAAATTTGTTTTTGGTGTTTGATTTCACAGACACTTTGTTAGAAACTTAGAATCCAATATTGAATATAGTGCCTATTAGAAGCCAAAGTTTACCTGTTCTGTTCTTTAAGCAGATTGGTCAAGCCTACTCTTTTCGACAAGACGGCATGAAAGTGATCTTTTGTTTACAAAAATAATAAAAGAAGACGTAGATTGATATCAATGGAGCATAAAAGTTTTCAAAGATACTAGTCCTCTTTTACTGCATTATCGGATTAAAAAATTCAAGGCCATTATTGGGTTTGATTAATAGTTGGCAATTTGCTATTGTTTATGTTTAGCATGTTGGGTTGCACAATTACCTTGTCTTTTACATGCAGATGTGACATGTCCACAATGCACGATATCTTATTATATACGTGTTCTGTCTTATTTTAAATTTTGGTTGTACATTTTGTTGAACGAATTCTTGATTGAAATGCCATAGACAAAACACCAATTTTTAGTCCGCAAAATGTAAGAGCTTCCCATATTGGTCGATTAGTCGAGGGGCACGTTTGATAGTTATAAATTCCTCCTCTGATGATTTTTCTCTCTTCATGAATTGCTCAAATCATCTGATCCACGTTTTCACTTTTACAATCTTACCGATCACGCATACAGCCCCACTGTTAATTTGATATACTAAAGATTTCTGGTAATCGATCAATGTTTCTTGGGGTGGATATGAAAGTGATATTGCGACCTTTTCTTAAGCTATGAACTTGGTGCTCACCAGATACGGAATGATGTAGCCAATGGCAGACCATGGTAATATGGCTAAATGTAATTATTTGTTACACTCTCGGAGTCTATCTTCCTTTTCCATTTTTGTTTTGAAACTGCCTGCCCCATTCTCTATGTAGATTGGACGAGAACTTAAATGTGTCCAATAAGCGGAAGAGGAGTTGTCGAGAATCAAAATTCAAGACCGAATGAATATAGACAGTCAATTAACCATAACTCATTTAATCAATATTGTCATTTCACCAATTAATGCATCACTTTATTACCAATCATGCAAACAACTTCATAAGCAAATCCATAAACCATCTTTTGTTGGAGAACAAAGTTTTCAATCTATACAAGGGACTCCATTCATTAGGTATCACCAGACCTGAAACAAATGACATAAACAAAACATCAATGTCACAAAACAATCATTGAGCCACCGTACACATTGAATTGATCCCCAATATTTTTGTGCACGAATCACAAATTGTCATTGAATTCATTAAGATTGGCATGACTCACACCATGTTTTGTAACAGGACAGAATTGATTGATGAAATTGTGATACAGAAATCTGAATGATTACTAGAAATGGAGAATATTGGAGACTTACTTCCACATTGAAAGGGGCGAGGAACGGTGATGCCGCAAGATTCAGCTATCCTCAAAGCACTTTGGATGTCAACTTTGGCAGCCATTTCCGGCGTAATCAAGGGGCAGACGCATTCAGGATTCGTATTTCTCATACGCTCGCAACATTCAGGCGACGGAAGGTAACCATGAGCAAGCGGTTTACAAGCTATCATCCCAAGTCTTCTCTCCTTTTTGCATTCTGCTTCACTACTTTTGTTACTATTACCAGTACTGCTTAAAAGAGCCAGCATCATCAATAACGCCATGATTGACCTGGAGTGGTTATACATAGTTTCCTTTCTTGGCTGTCTGAGTTTCTAAAGTACTATAGCAATTGAATTGCTGGAGAGAAATAGAGGAGTGCATGAAGAATTATGGTTTCTAGATTGCTACGAATTTATTGCTAATGAGGATCTCAATCTATAGAATTTTGCCGACTGATATTTATTGAGTTTTGGTTTTTTGCTAAGAAGTCAAAATGTTCTTGTTGAGAGTTGTGTATTTAGTTACATGTGTTGCGGTGTAATTAGGATATGGTAACAAGGGTGAAGTCAAATTCTCTTCTATACTTGTTTTCCCTCATTTCTGTCTCTTAAATATGTCCCCAAAAAAATAAAAAAATAAACAGTACGTTTTGGACAAATTCTTCTAACAACAAAACATTTTCACAATGGAAGTACTTTTTAAAGCACCAATTTACATTGCTAAACTAGGATGGAGGACACTTGTCGGAAATGTCTTATTTAACTCTAGTGTATCAATACCCCACAATATTTCCAAATGTCTCTCTCAATCTATATGGGGGGTTTCAAGCTGTGAAGATTGCTGCAATTGTGCTTCTAACTGTGTCCTTTGAAGAAATCCAGGTCAGAGGTCCTTGATGGTAGGATGTAGCGTTATCCGGAACAAATGAAAAATTTAGTAAACGTGATTTCATAGGTCAACTTCTGATTGATCCTATAAAATCTCAGGGCAGTTGGCTTCACTATGATGCTAACACCTTCAGGAGGAGGAACCTTAGCAGTGTAAATAGAGTAAGCCTCACCAACGTTAGTAACTGTCCTCGTGTACCTCTGAACATATGATCCAAAGATAATCGAAAACGAAGGATAGTTCAATTGTTGTTCTGGAGTGCTGGATTTTTCAGAACATGTTACCCTGCGATACACAATCGTACTAACCTGCATGCTTGTGTCATTTAACCCGCAAAGGTAAGGAATGTAATCGTTTGGCTTAATGTCGTAAGTCAGGCCTGGATCGTTTGTTTTGGAAGGGTTGACATGGCCGGATCCAATAGCGAAAATGTCAGCTGGAATTTGCCGTTGATCCTCGATGGGAATTTTCAGGAGCTTCACAAGATCAGCGATTGTCATTATCGCTTGAGCAATGCAGCGACACCGCTGAGATGAAGGCACACCATTGAAGTGCCTGAGATAACATTGAAGGTGGATTTGGTATTGATGATGTTTTCAACGGATTCGTGCCAGGCCGCCAGAATGTTTATACCAGGACCAATTATATCAGGCTTCAAAATTCCAGGGCTGGCTAGGCTCGGAACCCCGGAAGAAAAGAAAGCGACTTGAGGAGCATGTTCATCTCCAATTATTGTACCTTTGAAAGAAATGGCAGCCGTCGGCGAACTTGTCGAGTTAACATAATCAATCAGCTTTTGTCGATCAGCATAAGTTATATGAGTAGCTGGAAGAACATGAGTTTCTGCTTTGGTAACATAGCCATATACTTCAGGGTTAATGATGATTATGCCAACTCCACCAGCACCTTTGACAAGGCTTCCTTTAGCTACATCTGGTACGACACCAACTTCGCACACTATTATATTGCCCTGAACTTCTATATTGCCATGCCAGAAGCCCTCGTGATTCTCGAAAGCACAAAAATTGTGTTCAATACATTGTAGCCAGAGCAGAGAAATTAATACGGGAAGAAATAGGAATTACAAATGGGAAGGAGAAAATCAAAGTTTAAAAGGCTTTAAATTTGTACAAATAGGAGCAGGAGGAAAGATTTTTAGCATCATTATTAAATCAAGACTTTGAACCTCAATGGATTAATGGAACTGGGAAGATGAATGTTTTGTTGTAGGTGTATAATTGATGGTTGATTGGTTTGAGACCTCACCAAAGAGTTAAGAATTTTATTGCGTTTGTAGCAGGGTTCAAAGTCTGGTTTATAATTATGGATGGAAGAGTTTCTTCTACGCTACCATGACCACTAGTTTGGAAGATCGATAAATGCTTGCTAATGGATGATAAAACCAAAAGGCAAATATGGTAAGGAAGTTCTCTCTTTAATTTAGAAAACCATACAAGTCTTTAGTCTTCTCGATCTGGACTTTTGGTGATCCTGTGTTTGGAGTAATATGTATTCAAATAGTGTAGTTCGATTTTAAACTTTACGGACTCATTTTTTTTTTTTGAAAATATATATATATATATCTAAAATTATTATCTAATTAGATTTTAAATTTTAGTTCAATATATTCTAAAAATAAAAATCAAACTCTACAATAATTTCGAGACGAAGTAAGATTTATTGTCAATATTATCATGATTTTTTATAAGTCAAGCATGTCATGAATATATAATGAAAAGTCCCAATTAATATCTAGAGGGAATATTGGAGTCTCCACTCTCCATCTAATCTTTTCAAAGACTTTGCCATATGACTCAATCTAGCTTCCTAACACCCAAAAATTAGAGTCCGTATCTAGTGTGTCCGGGTGTACCGTATATCCGCCACCAAACACACGCGCTACACGCGCTCAACTGTTTTCACCTTTATATTAAATGCGCAAACAAAATTGCTTTCATCGATTTTACTGTTTTCATCCTCATGCACAAACACACACAAACACACAGTCGACGGAAACTCTCCATTTTAGGACAAATACAAAATTGACCACCACCACAAAATTACACAAAGTCGACGGAAAACCTCCACTGGAAGATGATTTTGATAACTTCATCTTCTCTCTGCGTTTTTCATTTTGTCAATCTGTTATTTCACACACACACACACACACACACACACACACACACACACACACACACAGACGATGGCGAGAAACCCTACCTCCGGCCATCTCAAGCTCTCCTTCATCTACACATGCTTCACTCTTAAGTGTATTACTCCGGGATCCTATTTTTTTGATTATCCAGTAATATTTTGTGTTTATTCATTAGATCTGAACTTGTTATCCATGCCTTGTTGCGTTTGATATGTGGTTGCGTTCGCATATGGTTTCTTATTCATGCTTTATTGATTATCCATAATTTTGTTACTGATTATCCACTAGATCTGAACTGGTTATCCATGTTTTCTTGCGTGTGCTATGTGATGGTTGTCCATGCCATAATTGCTGGTTATCCACCCATTTCATACTGGTTATCCAGAAGGTGTAAACTGGTTATCCAGAAGGTGTTGTGTAAACTGGTTATCCACAAGTTGGAAACTGGTTATCTACAAGTTGTAAAATGATTATCCAGAAGGTGTAAACTGGTTATCCAGAAGGGCTCCCATGATAAACTAAACGACTCCCGCGGCTACCGGAATCACAGGTCACCAACCTGCCCCAGCTGTGCCGTCCCGTTGAATACGCCAATGTAGCTAAGGTAATCCTTTTTTCGTGTGTGTGTAAGGAGAGTGTGTTATTGCGTTAAGAGAGAACACAAATTATTTGTATAAATCCCTCTGTGATCAACTAAACGACCCGGCTGCGCTGGTGCCCGCGGCTACGCCGCCCCCCCTGTCGAACACGGCAAATTTCATAAATAGTATTTAATTGACTGAGGGGCATTTTGCCAAATGATGGAGAACAAAAAATGAATGAGGGGCAGTTTACCAAATGATGGAAATAAGGTACGTTCAATTGTGTAAACTAATTATCCATTGTCAATATTGGTTATCCAACTGTGTATAACTAATTATCCATAGTGCCAACACTGGTTATCGACATTATGAACACTGGTTGTCCATAGTGTGTAGCTGGTTAGTGTGTATAACTGAAAAGCCACACGTTTTGTAATTAAATAGAATTTAAATACTTGTATAAATCCCCCGTGATAAACTAAACGACCCGCCTGCGCCGGTGCCCGCGGCTGTGCCACCCTCATGCCAAACATGACAAATTTCATAAATAGTATTTAATTGAATGAGGGGCAGTTTGCCAAATGATGGAGAACAAAAAATGAATGGGGGGCAGCTGGATAACCAGTGTAAAAAATACGGACAAGGATATCTAAGAAAAATATAAAAGAAAAAAAATGATAGTTCACATTGTCAACACTGATTATCCAACAGGTTAATAATGGTTATCCAGTCATTTTCAAATGACTTTCAATCTGGTTTGCACTGGTTATCCAAAATGGTCTCAACTGCTTATCCTAACATTTGATACTACTTGTGATATTTTAATATAATTTACTTGCCCAATGTGTTAGTACCGATTATCCAAACGGTTTGTAATGCTTATTGAATTTTTATTTTGTTTTTATTCTTTATGAAAAATACTTGCCTATAGTGTCAACACTGGCTATCCAGTTGTGTTTAACTGGTTATCCATAGTATGCACACTGGTTATCCACAGTGTCAATACTGGTTATTCATAGTGTGGAGTATGTTACTGTGTATAACTGAAAAGCCACACGTTTTGTAATTAAATAGAATTTACAAGATTGAGGGAGTAAAAATAAAAAAAGAAAACTGAAAAGGCTGATGTTCACTCGATCTGAACTCAACATATCGTCGACCCAATCATCGTTTCGCCACTCTGGTGGAATCGGAGCCTTTCCTTGATCGCTGAATACTGTCACCGTCTCAATGACTCGATCGCCGCCGGCCGTGTCCACCTCAACGTCTCGATCGCCGACTCCCATTGCCGCCTCAACGCCTCGATCGCTGCCGGCCGTGGCCCAGCAATAATACTCCATCACAAAGTTTTCAAAATTTGAATGAATTCGGTAATTTATATATGCCGCGTTTAAAAAAAAAAAGAAAAAGAAAGCTGAATTATCTAGCGGACTCACGCTATTCTAAGAGAGTAAAATACACGCGCAGCGAGTACACCGTGCCTCCGGGTGTACCAGATAATTTGCCAAAGATTACTATTTTTTATCATTTTCTTATTTTCCACACAATTAACACTATCAGGCGGTTCAACCCACTGAACAACAACCCATGTGGGTGGAGTCGACACAGCACCAAGAATTCCGACGAGTTTTGACCGGCAAAGTTAGAACCAAAACCTCTGCTAATTTATCCTTTTGTTCTTTAGTTACATGTTACGGTGTTAGGATATTATATATAGTTTAATTATATATATCCTATGTACATTTCCATCGCTTGAATACAAACAAATCCCTCCGAAAAAATAAAGTACTAGTATAATTATATGGTTTGCTGAACAGTTTAATTCATTTTGTTAAACGAAATTGCCTAATTTCGTGGGCTAGTTTTAAGGTAGATAATAGATATGAAACTAATTGTTATATAATGATTTCTCTCTATATTTGCTAAGTATAAAGTAATCCAGGTAACAAAACCTTTTTAGCATTTCTTGTCATCGTTGTTAATTGTTTACTTGTACATTTTTGTTGCTTTTGAACATTTTCCTCCCTATAACACACAAGCCAAAAATTATTAATAAAGAATGCAGCTGTGCAGGAGTGTATTGATTGTATTTTAGCTTGTAATGAATTTCTGTTATCGATCAAACTTTTCGTTTTCAACTTTTAAGTTGTTTCTATATTCGTAATTAGACACTTACTTGACTTTAACATAATATTGGAGATATAATTACGATTCTAGAACTGTCTGGTCTTGGATACAAGACATATTTTTAATTGGAATCATATGGTATACAAGAGAGACTGTAAAGAACTCTGCTATGAATTTTTGTCATGGGTATAGTCATGATTTTATTCATTCTTCCAAATATTCATGTATAAACATACCACTAGAAAAAAAGAATATCATTAAAGGGTAAAAGTAGTGATTTTTCAAGGTTCTAAAACTAATTATTTTATATGGTGGGGATAAAATCATAAAATTGATGTCGATCGGTTGATCCCATCTAAACTAACAATAAAAAAGGACAGCTCCTAGCTTCAAGGTAACACCATAGAGATCTGCGCGTGTACTTTTTGGGTCAACATTTGGACATCCAGCCCATCAGCACTAAGCAAAGCCATTATCATATTTCCTAGAAAATACTTACTCAACAATGGCTTATCAGAACATAAGAACTTCAGCAGTTCAACCTAAATCTAAATAAAAGACCCTTTTTCGTCCCAAAATAAAACTCTCAATTATTTAAATGTTTCAATACAGCAAACATGATTTTATAATCAAGTAGGATTAACATTGTACAAAGGAAGTCCAAGGCTTCAATTACATCCAGATGATAGACGAAACCAAATCAAAACACAGAGTTAAAACGGAGACATTTCGCCTAAAGAAATTAAAGATCTCCAGATCAGCTAGGAATCCATCATCTGCCATCGAAAGAAAATTAATTTCAAGGCGTAGTGATACCTGGAGACAACAAAATGAAGCGATGAGCCAAGTATATAAAATTAAGGCATAGGAAAGTACATTAACCAATGAGATTGAATATGATCAACTTACTGCCACATTTGAAGTGACGCGGGACTCGCTTCCCGCAACCTTCGACGAGGCGAATCGCCCGATTGACGTCGATCAGGGCGGCCAATTTGGGAGTGATAACAGAGCAAATGCACTGGAAATGGGTGGCCCTGATCCGATAACAGCAATTGGAGGACGGTGGCTTTCCGTACAGCACCGGCTTGCAGGTGTTCACCAGCAGCCTCCTTTCCAATTTACACACTGCCGCATTTGGCCTTGCTGCATCAACTGTATTTGTAACCTGATGATCACCCAAAATCAGGACTAAAACCATTATCACCATGATCATGATTCTCGTTTCTGCCATTTTATTTGAGATCTTTGATGTCTTATTTTGCTTTCTACCTAGCTGCCAGTACTCTTGGAGGAATCTTTGGTTTACTTTGAGAAGATTTATTTATAGGTCGCAAAGTCTGTAATAAAGTGTACAGCTGCCAAGCCTGCCAGAATGGTTTTCTTCTTTTCTTTCTGTTTTTTTTGCCCTTCTTGGTTGACTAGTTGACTTTGTTGATCACTCCACCACCACTAAAAGTAAGTAAACCTAGGACAGGTCCTCCCCCTAAACATCCTATTCATCTTGCGGCTCAGAAATTTTTTGAGGCCACAAATTCTTTTCTTACCACTTACAATAGTGTTTCTTGTAAGGTAGGTGATATGAACAACATTGATTCCGTTTTCGTTTATTTTGTTTTTAATTAAGATGGATATTCATTTCCTTGTACCGAAAATAAAAATTAAGATGGATATGGTTTTAAGTAAAATATATACTAGATTCACCTTATTGAAACTGTGAAATGTTCGTTAATAACGTGATGTTAAAATTAAGTAGGTATGTTTGGACGTATGTTTGGATGGATTTTCCTTTTCCATATCCTTTTTGGCTTCGGCAACAATCCAAAGGGTTTAAAGCTCAAAACTCAGAAATAAATAATATACTACCATTAATTCTATTGTCCTAAAAAAAAAAAACAAAAAGGGCCACTTTGTTAGTTTTTTTTTGGGGTTTTTTTTTGGGTGTATTACAAATCCGTTGTCCAAAGTAATTTGTGCAATTCATCCGAATTCGAGCAGGGTAAGTCATTTTCAGGAGGGAAAACTCTTTTAATAAATATCTTAATTATTATTGCAGACCCATGCAATGAATTTGATCTTAGTATCGGATCATGAGTAACCTGATTCAATACCTTTACCATGTGAATCAAGTGTTTGTGGGTACAAGTCGACAAACATTCATGAAATCTCTTGTTGTTTTTGCATAAATTAAAATGTGAAGTTGTTGACTCGTTGTTCTCAAGCTAGTGGTCACCAAATTCACTCTAGTGGAAAATATTGAGAAATTATCCAAGCTTAGGTCAGAATATAAAAATCAAATTACTTTTTTGTTTCAAATGTATGCCTAAATTACAGGTTAATTAACACATTTAAGGAATTTTAGATATATATGAAAGGAATTTTCTCTCCGGGACACGTGTCGCTCGATTAAAATGCTAATAGGTTTCACAGTAATTTTTTAACAGTAAAATAGTAATTTTTATATTTACAAATATATTTCAGTTAAATGGTTAAATAATTATATCTTTTTTTGTTTACTATTGACCGTAACTTAAACAATAAACAAATTTCTGGCAGACAATATGAACGCCTTAGTCTAGAATGATTCCGGCAACTAATGTCTCCGACCCGCTCGATTCCCTGAAATTATCTTCACTGGCTATTATTTTTTTGCTGTTGAAAGTTCTCTCTTCGGCATATTCTTTGGCATCATTTGTGACTATTTTTTTTCACCGAAAATTATCATCGGTAACATGTGATTTCATTACAACAACCCCGCTGATGGTACCTTCAATACTGGATGGATGAAATTTGTGATGAATTCAGTGATAGAGTCCATAAATTATGCTTTAATTGTTATTATTTTATGAGTTTATGGACTTGGATCGTTTTAATTCATTAAGTTTTATTATTGTTTTGTGTTAGGAACTGGAAATCGGAGTTTACAACTTTTTTTGAGCTAATTGATACAAAAAGAGATTGCAAAAAAATCATCCAACTTGAGCAAAGGAAGAAGTTTACTCCAATTATGGACTCAATTGCAAAATATAGAAATTTCTGGAGGTAAAAGTTAATATTAAAGAAAATTTTGGACTGAAATCCACTATTGAAGAAAGTTTGGGCCAAATTGGAAGAAACTTGGAAGTAGAAGGACCAATATTGCAATTTGTTGTTTAATTTTTGGCAGCATACGGCTGACCTAATTCTATATTAAGGCCGTATGTTTTCTTGTTTTGGCCATCGTTTTTAATTCATTCGACCGCACGGCCGTCGTTTCTTTTGTTCGAAAAACTCAACATAGCGCGCAGATTTTTCTTTTGGCTTCGGAGGTCAGCGGCTGTCTCCGTTTCTCCGGGTTTTTAATTCTTCTAGACTTGGTACTATTTTTCTATGAATAAATTAGCTATCATGTTCATGATTATGAGTAGCTAAACTTTTTGTTTCTGATTCAAGGGATTTAATTCAATTATTTCACATGTGAGGTTTTAGTTTTAATTTAATCTTGTCTATGGTTTGAGTTATTTGTTTATTCTTGTTTTAAATTTATGAAAGTGAATACTAATTAAATTGACAACTTGGTTGTGTATTTTCTTTTTACTGCTATCCTTTGGTTCTATGTTACGTATTTGACACGAACCATTGGAATTTAGTAGCAACTAGGCAGATCATTGGTATTTGTGAGACTTGGATGCCTTTGTATGCCTAGGAGTAGGATCGACAAATCATAATTTAATTTATTGCAGCTATCTCAATAATTTTGAATTGTGTTTCAAGCATATTTCCTTGGTTTTTATTGCTATCATTTATTTGTATGGAACGCTATCGTGCCCGGCGTTTAATGATAAGCGCTAACTGAATGCTAGGTTTGGTTAGTTAATTTAGGGAAATTTTATGTTTACTACGGCTATCCTAGTATGCTAAACTTGAGTGCTCGAATTGCAAGAATGATTTTAGTTACCAATGATCTGTGAAATAATTGGATGATCCGTTCCTTGAGTCAGAACCTTTGTGATATTGAATTTTCTCCTTGTTTACTTATCTTGCTTTTAAAACTCGTAATTTTTATTTTGTCTTAGTAGTTAGTAAACCAACAAACAAAATCTTTTTGAACATTGTCAAACTAAGAACTAAGAATCTAGCTCCTTTGGGATTCGACCTGGTACTGCTACTACTGCAAATTTTGTTGTTCGGTAGGATTATCGGATTAATTTTGGGTGTCTCGACAAGCTCGCCATTCAGATCTCCATGAAATCTGAGATAGCTTCCTTGCTTCAAACATGTATTTTTCAAGGATTGAGAATTTTGATCAATTTGCTTCGTGTTGATGCCAAATTCTTCGAGGAACGACGCTTTGCCTTCAAATCCGGTCCCTCCGCCACCGATTGTGTCAAGACAAACTGAAAAGGTAGCGTTGAACTAGGCAGAGCACAAAACAATGTTATGTATCAACACCATACAGAGCTACATGGCTTTGTTTTAGAGTTTTTCTACGGCGGCGGTGGCAAAGAAAAAGCGTGCGGCCGAAAGAAGAAGAGGAAGAGTGTTAGAGTTTTTGTTTTTTGTTTTTTTTTTAAGGTTATTTTTGTTTCAAAAGATAATAGAAACAAATTTGAATTTCAAATCAATAAAAAAAATGTGGCAAAGATAAGTGTAAGATAATAAATATGCATTAATCATGAGATAAATTTTAAAATTAAATTGATCTGATCTTCACGATTTTTTTTGGTAAGTTGATCTTCACGATTTCAAATCAATTGTCTCCTATAGAACCTCTATCCTACACGATTTTAAATTTATATTTTTAATTCTCACCTAAAATCCAGTCATCTCCTTCTCCCTCAGTTGGTCGCATATCTCTCTCTCTCTCTCTCTCTCTCTCCCTCTCCCTCTCCCTCTCCCTCTCTCTCCCTCCCTCTCTCTCTCTCTCTATTCTACTTTTGTGATCTATACTTAAATTGCCACTTCTTCTTATTGCCTAATCAATATGCGCGACGGATTTTTCTTGCTGTCGTCGTTGTTGTATTTCCGACTATTCATATATCTTTGAGTTAAAAAGATTAGTATATTTTCGGTCACCCAACATCAAAATCATCCCTGCTCATATAGTTTCAATCATTCATCGTCAAAATCATCTATGCCGTAATAGCTTCAAGACTCAATTAATTTGATCAATTAATTAATGTTTTCATAAAACACGGATGAAATGGTAAGGTGAGAATGTGCTGAAGTTCGGACAAACCCGTTTTGGATTATTACAAAGTGAGTATTGTGCATTGATTATTTCTTTATTTTTGGGTTCCGAATGGTGCAGGAAAAATAAAATGGTCAAAAAGGAAGGAGAGAATTTGCTTTGCAGTTAATATAATCTACACTAATCACTTCTAATATACTCTTGGTTTATGTTCTTCTTTTTTCCGTTTTGTTTCAAATTTCGTAGATATTATTACTCTGACATGCTTAAGACTTGAAGGTTTGAATCTTTTTTCCATTACTTTTTTTTAACGTATTTTATCTATTAATTTTGATTTAATAGATATGGTTGAGGGGATAAAATAAACAAACTCCCTGTTATTGAGGGGAGTTTTTTTTAATAGCGGCTGACAATTGATATTAATTTATTAAATTTTTTCAAGTTGTAAGAATCAGATTTATACCATCGTTACCCCTGTTATTGAGGGGATAGTATTTAAATTTTGTTTACTACATTAAATAATTAATTTTACTTTCGTTTATTTTACACTCGTCAAATAATTTAAAATAGATTATCATCTAAAATAGTTCCCATTTTGAAAATTTGTTATAGATTTTTATCCTAATCTAAATAAAGAAACAACCGAACATTAAATGTTGTTAAATTTAAACTCTAAAATGAAAAAATGGAAAAGATATATACGTATCCCCATCATAACTAAGTTTTAAATAAATTAATGATAATGTTATTTTATTTTATTTTTTTGAAGAAGGATAATGTTCGTTAAATGGGGACTTATTTTACATAGGAAGTTCAAATTCTTGATTCTATAAAGGCTTCCATACTTTGCATCAGAAACCAAATCAAACACTATAACTTTTAAACATCACATGATGGGGCTAACTTTGTCATCTTTTTTCATCACTTCCATTCTCTTTTTCTTTTCACTGAGACTGATACTACAAAAGTTAAAGAAAAAACTAAGAGGCGATGTGTCATGTTGTCCCAAACTGCCACTGGGTTCATGGAAGTTACCCATCATCGGAAGCATATATCATTTCTTCTTGGCAGGTTCACTTCCACATAGAGTCATGACAGGCCTTTTCAAGAAATACGGCCAAATCATGCACTTATAACTCGGCAAAATGTATGCATTGTGGTCTCAGGCTCTCAGGCCGCGAAAGAGTTGATGAAGACTCACGAAATCGCTTTAGTAAACCGACTAGAAAATGTATTAGTCAAGGTACCTATGATTATCTAGACATTGCCTTTTCTCTATATTTTCAAAATCGGACCAGCCCAGGCGGTCGAACCGGTTATGCTGGGAACCAGAA